AGAGAGAGAGAGAGAGAGAGAGAGAGAGAGAGAGAGAGAGTGAGAGAGAGAGAGAGAGAGAGGGAGAGAGAGAGAGAGAGGAATCAGTAGCGTGGAGATCAGCTCGGCTGGCTAGGCTGGTTGAGAAGGTCTCCTGGTTTGGAGAAGACTCAGAATTTGAGAGGAGATTGAGCGAGGGAGTTTCAAAGACAGGGGAGGGAGGGAGGGAGGCGAGGATTGGGGAGCGAGCGACTATAAGGGGGCTGCTTACGCGAGGGGTTTGAGCTAGCGACTATAAGGGGGCTGCGTACGCGAGGGGTTTGAGCTCCTTCCTGAGAAATTGGATCGTCGTGATTCTCAAGTTTCATCTGTGCTAAAAAAAAAAAAAAAAAAAAAAAAAGGTGGAGAAGGGATAGAAGAGAAAGGACTGGGCGAAGACTTTACTGTAAGAGGAGAATCCGATTGACCAGAAGGTCCTCAGTGAACGTCCATCATGTCATTGACAATTTGAGAGAGAGAGAGAGAGATTGAGAGAGAGAGAGAGAGAGAGAGAGAGAGAGAGAGAGAGAGAGAGAGAGAGAGAGAGAGGAGTAGGAGTCATAGCGAAAGAACGGTGTTGAAGAGTGGAGACAAGAAGAGAAGAGAGGAGGAACAACGAGAGGAAGGGTGAGAGAGACGAGAGGGAGCCCGGCATGTAAAGCGTGGAGGCTATTGGATGCAGTCTGGAGAAAGAGGAAGCGAGAATTGACCCAGCATGCGAGGTAAGATCACAAGTCCATTTAAAAATAATTATTATTACAGGAAAAAAAAAAAAAAAAAAAAAACCGGAGAACATGGGCAAAAGAAACTTAAGACCATCACGAAGGACAGGGAAGAGGCTAGGGAGAGAGGGAGACAGGGATGGCGTGTTGGGTTTAAATAAAAAAAGAGGGTGGGTGGGGGGTGAGGTGGGGGAGGGGAGGGGTGGGAGGGGAGAGTGTTGTTGTTGTTGGGAACTAGGAATGTGTGTTTGGAAACGCTACGTCCTTCCTTCGTTCTACTAATGTTCCTTTTTTAGTCTATCTCTTATATCGAGATTGTTCCGACCACAGCGAGAACGCAAACCTCCTCTCTTTTAGTCTAATACTTGCCATGTTGCAGCGTGCCATGTGTATCACTGATTATACATGGGGATTGCAATTTTGCTCTTTTAATTACTCTTCGTCTGTTATTTGTATGTGCGCGTCTGTGCGTGTGTGTGCGTGTGTGTGCGTGTGTGTGTGTGTGTGTGTCTGTGAGAGAGAGAGAGAGAGAGAGAGGGAGAACCAGTGTGTGTGTGTGTGTGTGTGTGTGTGTGTGTGTGTGTGTGTGTGTGTGTGTGTGTGTG